TTTTTATGAGAGTATAACATTATAACATGAAATAAAACTCAAAAAAGTTGATGTTTACATGGTATTGCCCCTTTAAACATGAACTGCTGAACTTTTCCACTCGGTCTCGTTCAGGATGTTTTAAACAGCTGAAGCTTTACAGATGAGCTTAAATATGGTGCAGGACAACCAGGCTGGTTTGTGTTCTTTGGTGAAAACAAGCTGACAAACAAACAAAAACAGATGTTTTGTGCTTCATTTCCAAGCGTAAGTGTTTCAGATTTGATTTGCCAGACCACCCTGCTCCCCCCCGCTGTCTCGGTGCTTCTGATTTAGCTCTGGTCCAGTAAAGGTCGCAGCATTTCTAATCACATTAAACATGTTTTGGTTGTTTTATTTTTGGACTGTGGTGCAGTTGTAATGTGCGTCTGTTTTCAGCGAGGCCTGCCGGTGGTTCTCACCTCGTTACTTTTACAAGCAGCTGGAACAAGCAGGAGTTTTTCCTCCGTTCTGCTCGTTTCAGTCTTTAAAGTGTAGGCAGTGGAGAGGCAGCAGCTCTATGACGACAGCTGTCACGCCTGGGACCTGCCTCTCCCTCCTCCGGCAGCATCTCAAACCCCCCTGAGACCCCCTCACACTTTGCTTTTAGATGTTCCCAGCACCTGCTGATGAAAGGAAGTTTCCACAACACTTTTCTGACTTTGCAGACAATCACAAATCTCAGCGCAGCACTGAGGTGAATATTTTTACCAGCAGAGGCGCCGCTTTAAAGAACTTTTGGTTTTATTTTGCTTTTTTTTTTTCTCTCTCCCTGGAGAGATTTGCTTTCAGCAGTCGCTCTGCTCCACGCTGAGCCTCGTCTCTGACGTTATAATTATTGTGATAACCGAGGTTCCTTCTTTGTCTTTGTGCTTTCTGTTTTTTCCTTTAACACAGCCCACGCCCAAAGACTTTCTGACAGCTACAAGCCAACTTTGATGTCGGCTCTGGGTGAAACCACRCTGCTGCACAAGAAAAATTAACCAAATTTCAAAGTGAATCCTGTTAGAGTGAAGAAAACATCAATATTAGCTTCACTTTTCTTATGTTTATCTTTAGCTGTGTTGCTGGGTTGGGGAAAAAGCCCACCTGTGTGTCTGTTAGTAAAATATCTCATGAACCACTGGATGGATTTTCTCTAATCAGATGAACAACTTTTGGAGACGACATCTAATCAACTTTAGCACTAAAATAATTGTCACTCAGTCAATTTGACAGAAATTGAGATAATATTTGATGTGGTGGTAGCTGAGAGTTATTAACACTATGAGCACTTTATTTTTTTAAGGTTTGATCAGAAGAGCTCTGTCGTTTTTCCTAATACGATCATTAAAAACTCAGGTGATGTGTTTTCC